ACTCCCACAAAGGAGGCCACACCCACAGAGTAGGTTCCAACAATTTTTGAAACCCACCACTGGTTAGAACCCAGTACAATCCGGAATATATTTGGGCTATGTGCAATTTCCTCAGAATGAATTATTATAATCTCAATAGAGATATAATGATATAACAGTTTTTCCAACTGTCTGACTTTGTCATTTAACCAGCAGGTTGTTTTGAATGGAACAAGTCCAGTTTATGAGCTGCATAGATGTGGGTAGCCTTGTCAGCCTTTGCTGTGGCCCTCCGACCTTGAATAACTGATGGCATAGTTTCCTGCTTAGACTGGAGGAAACAAAATTCTCAAAAAGAGACATAACAATTCACAATGCATTTCTCAAAGATTACTTTCAAAATCTCTCTCATTCACAGGTGTGAAATGGCTTTCAGCTACAATTCCTAACCCCCCTCACCTCCTAATAAATCTTGGTCACCAAACAATGTTCATCCTTCACCCAGGAAGGAAGAGCACAGGCCTATGGAAAGAACTTACCTGAAAGCCCTATGCAAGTCAATTTAATCAAAGAAAGCAATAATATTTTATAGATCCATATTACCATTAATTCAGGGGACGCAGTGGTTCAGTGCCTAAGATGCCGAGCTTGTCAGTCAGACAGGTTGGCAGTTCAGTGGCTTGAATCCCTAGTGCCTTGTAACGGAGTGAGCTCCCGTTACTTGTCCCAGCTTCTGCCAACCTAGCAGTTCGAAAGCATGTAAAAATGCAAGTAGAAAAATAGGAACCACCTTTGGTGGGAAGGTAATAGCGTTCCGTGGGCCTGCAGTGTTTAGTCATGCCAGCCACATGACTATGGAGATGTCTTCGGACAGCGCTGGCTCTTCGGCTTTGAAACAAAGATGAGCACCACCCCCTAGAGTCAAGAATGACTAACACATATGTGCGAGGGGAACCTTTACCTTACTTATGTACTTCCAAGGCTTTGGCCAACTGTGGCTGAACTTGGAAAAAAAATAGTGACAAGTTATACTTGGATGGAGTACAATCCAGCTGTTGGCTAGACTGGAAATTTTTATAAAATCCTGGAAGAAGAAAATAAGGATCACTTCAATAATGGCTGTGAAGAAAACATTAACAATCCCAAACCTCTATATGGGCACCATCACTAGGAATCAGATTCTTTATTTTTTTATCCCTTTAACTCTTCTTTCACTCAAGCCAATGTTTTTCCACATTTGCATAATGAAGACAGAAATGGAAGGTAGAAAATGCTTAATACATTTGATTAAGTGGATATTTTTCCACTAAAGCTTTGGGCCACAACATCATGTAACTTCTATTCGAACTACACCCCACAGAGGTATGCAAGAGAAGATAATTTGTCTCCCTCCTAATTTGAATTCCCAGAAGATCCAGCCAGTAGAAACTGGGCTACAACATCAAGAGAGTCACAGGTTCCCATCTGGCCTGGCAGCCTCCACTGTCTAGTAAGATCTCAGCTTAGCTCAAAGGCAATTTACCTTGAAGAAAGTCCTCTGGATCAAGCATGTTTCTATACAACAGGTACATAAAGCTTTTCACTTGTGATTCATCTTAAAAATGACAAACATTTCTGTCACTACATGGTGTGTTTGTAAAACGCAGCAACATGTGACCGCATTGCTTAGCAATGGAAATCACAGCAATCCTTGTTGCTATTGTTAACTGAATCCCACAAATGTTTAGATGAGGACCCTCCCAGATCCAAGTCATTCCTGGCTTCTCCCTCCCAGCCTCAAACCTTGGTAAGACAAGGAACTGCCTCCTCTTGAACTCCCCCTCCCAATTTCAGTCATTTTGGCCACCCTGCACTGTGGCACTCTGTGGCAGTGCCATCACTAGCACTAAAGTTGAGGCCGAGAGCCTTCAGCAGTCTCTGCCAACCACCTCTGCATCCCTTGCTCGTATTTGGGGATGCTTGCCTGGGCTCCGCTGAAGGCCTATCGTTTCACTCAGGACTTCCATGAGTAAATGCCAAGATTTTATTTTTCTCCCTCTGTCATGTAGATAGATGCATACTGTACTGCAGTGGTTCCCAAACTTGGCAACTTTAAGACTTGTGGACTTCAACTCCCAGAATTCNAAAAAAAAAGACGCACTATGGCCTTTTTTTGCTGAAAATTGATAAAAAATGATTTTATTTAAAAAGTGATTTCTATATCTGTATCGATTAAAAAGGGTTGTGTATGGGATGAATTGAAAGAGGGATACATTATTAGGTGTATAACTGCTGTAGAGAAGGTTGGGAGTTGCTTCTTTCTCTTTCTCAACACACTTTATATTACTTTTCTTCTATATTTTTCATGTTTATCTTTTAACTTTGTAAAAAATACCTTAAGTAAAAATTATTATTTTTTACAAAAAAAGAAAAAAGAAAACCGAGAGAGTCGAGCCTTGTGGCACCCTGCAGGTTAGGGAGCCCAGGCTCCAGCTCTCTACTGTCAACATTGACTGGAATCGGCGGTAATGAAAAAAGAACTACCGCAACCCTGGGCCTCTTGTTCCCAAGCCCTGTAGCAAGTTATGGTCAATAGTATCAAAGGTCATTGAGAAATCAAGAAAAACAAGAACAGTTATACCAACCCTATCCTGGCCCCACCAGAAGTCATCCACAAGCGCAATCAATGCCCTTTTGGTACTATGCCCTGGCCTGAAACTCAAATGAAATTGATCCAAATAATCCATTTCTTCCAGTCTGACCACCTTTTCAACAATCCTGCCCTAAAATGGAAGGCTGGAGACAAGCTTCCCTTCTTTTTCTTTGCTTCTTTAACTATATTATTAATTTATTCCCTCCCATCCATTTTAATGGTACCAGTTTTATATATGCAGACACTCAATAAAATATTACTAAATAAACTTCAAATTGAAAGGAAGACTATTTTTTTCCTGGCACAAAACTTAAAACACCTGCTAGGTGATAGAAATGTATACAAAATGTCCCTTCTCTATGTCACCATAGAAAGACCTTTTCTCTTGTCCTTCCATTTGTTTCTGAAACAGACATAGAAAGAAGGACTTCTTTAACCTTCTAAGAAGCCTCTAACGCATGGGTCACCATTAAAAAATGTCCTTTAAATGATTTCTCCTATCCTTCATTTTTCCAAGATTACTTGTGTTTGCAAAGTTTTGAGTTTTTCCAGAGTTGTATCTTGATTTCGCCACAAGGAGGCAGGTTTACAAACAACAATACATATGGAAGATTAACAGGATAATGTCCCACACAATATTTCTTTATGAAAGTTGATTGAATATAGCCATTGTAAACCCACCAAAATCTCTATCCAAGCAATTGGGGTAAATTAGCTTCTCTAGATTTGGAAGAATTACCAATTTCATCCTTCCCAATTTTCTTTGTTTTAAGCTACTGGACTATATATACTAAAAGGGACGTGGTGGCTCAGTGGCTAAGACGAGCTTGTTGATCAGAAAGGTTGGCAGTTCGGCAGTTCAAATCCCTAGTGCTGTGTAACAGAGTGAGCTCCCGTTACTTGTCCCAGCTTCTGCCAACCTAGCAGTTCGAAAGCATGTAAAAATGCAAGTAGAAAAAATAGGGACCACCTTTGGTGGGAAGGTAACCGCGTGCTGTGCACCTTCAGCGTTTAGTCATGCCGGCCACATGACCATGGAGACGTCTTCGGACAGCGCTGGCTTTGAAATGGAGAGGATCACTACCCCCTCTAAGTTGGGAACAACTAGCAAATATGTGTGGGGAAACCTTTACCTTTATCTGTATCCTCAGTTGTCATTTGTGTCTGATTGTAGAGAAGTACAGTACACGTGTAGTGAGATATTTTGCGTTAATCCATCATTTGAAATAGGATGCAGGCAAGCTTTACCAGGCGAAATTGCCATCGGAATGTACATCTAAAGCATCTATTTTCATAGTTTGTGAAATCTATTTTTTAATGATAACCCAGTATGAT